GCGCCCGTCAGCAGGACACCGTTTAATCGCACCTTAGATCGAAGAGCTTGAAACAAATATCGTTGATGTCCTTTTTCGCCGCACAACCAAGAGAGATAAATGCTAAGACGCATTACAGCCGCATAGGCCTCCAAGCGACGTTGACGTTTGCTCAGGTCCCAGTGCCCCGTAGAGCGACACTGCTGGAGCGCCTTAGATAGACGGACACAGCTGCGCATGTTGTTACAGAGCGATCGAACGCGCCTGGTAAAGTATCCCAACGCCTGCTTGTTATTAGCCAGTCAGTGCTGTGCTCGCTCAGTGAATAAATGAGAGAAAAAGCTGGTCGAACCGACGACCTGCACCCCGAAGCGGAGGTTCTTGAATCATGTATACATATCCTACGAACAAATCAATTTCCGAGACCTGTTCCTTAAAATTTCCGTGAATTCTCAGACGATTACCTCCAAATGCACGAATGTCGTTCACTCACCTACAAGTGCGCGGCATTCACACACCTGGGTTTCCGGTGTGTCAAAGAGTTTTGAGTTCGTTTTAGTTCTGTAAAAGTAGGGGCAGCATTCGGAGGGGAGCTGCAGGCAGGTGCCGGTGTATCACCCCCCCCCCCCCCTAACCAAAGACTCTGACCGCCCTGCTCACGTGCCTGCTGCCAGCTCTCGGTCCCGAATGTTCAACGAACGATAGCTAAGCCTACCACTCCAGTTGTTTACCAAAACCTTATTTCAAGCAAATTTTAGACTCACAAAAGACCACTGGAGTGTAAAAGGGACCCCGTGAAATTTTTTATACCCCCCTCTAGTCTTTGGAATGGTGAGCCTGAGCCAAACGGGAGGCGATGTTATTTGTCCGGCTGGGACCCGTAGTATCTGTGCGGATCCGCGCCCGGACGAACACCTGCACTGGGTCATGCGGTCAGGGTCTCAGGGCGGGCCGCCGGCTCAGCACAGCTGCTCGGCGGGCTGGCCTACCCAGCGAGTCGCAGGCGCCGTCACAGACCCGCCCGCGGCCTGAGGCAGCAGGCAGCCGACAGAAAGTGCGTTCTCGCCACGCCATCGATCTCCAGGCGAACGGAAACAAACACTGCAGAAGCAAAAGTGCCATTCACTGCCAGAAAAAGGCACGGCACGCACTGGTAAGGTCCTGCTTGCACTGTACTAAGTATACTATTGCCTTCTTTGACATGAAGTCTAATGGGTAACACACTAGAAAAAGGACGAAGATGATATACCGCACCGGTGCATTCGTAAATAACTGTGAATTTGATGGTGGAAGTTGCTACAATATTCTAGACAGCGTTGCAACGGTGTACTGGAAACGTTATTATGTAAATGTACCACACTTTCTGTCGGTGTGCGAATGCCCATTCGTACACTTTGGAGTAAAGATGTAAATTTTCCTTTGAAATTCTCGGACGTTTGCCTCCAAATGTACAAATGTCGTTCACATACCTACAAGTGTGCGACATTCACACACTTTGGTTTCCGGTGTGTAAAAGAAGTCCGTTTTATGGTTCTGTAAAAGTATCAAATTAGTGGCAAAAGGTCTTAAGTGTGCTAAAAAAAATGTGCATTTGGCCGTTTTAGTGCCTTTAGGCACTAGACCCTCAACACCTTCTAAAATATATTCTAAAAATAACATTCCCAACAAAGCTCTCGTTGATCTAAAATGCAAAACTAGTACCGTTTGCCCAACACGCTGACACACTGGTAGAAATCGCGACTGGCTTTCCCCGCGGCGGCCAAACTCAGACGGCCCAGACCCTTGCAACTGAGTGCTGGCGTCCGGCTCGAGGCTACGATGAGCACCAGGAGGAGGCGTGCCTCCGTTACACTTGTCGTGGCGAAGCCGGTCGCTGCCGTGAACGCGGACCTTTGCAGGCGCAGGCTAGCATCCGACAGCTCTTGGCTCAGGTAGGACAGTTGAAGGAAGACAACAACGATTGGCATCGCCAGCGGGAGCGTGCTCGAGTTCACGTCGTTAGCCAAAATCTGCGAATTTCACAACAATTGCAGTTCGCACTTTCATGACCATATTCACCTAGAAAAAATATTCGAAACGGTTTCGAAATTTTCGTCGACAAAAGTTAGAAAGCTGCAAATTCGAGGCAAACAAAAAAATCGGTGCACTCAGCTTACGAAATATATCACAAATTTACAAAGATGTGCCTGTGAGATTGTGACTCCACCAGGACTATACCTGAATGACGGCAAACATGGAGTTGCAGAACGAGCTGGCCATGATGTGCGCCAGGTTACCGGAGAAGAAATCAC